AATCGTGATTTGTTTATATACAGCATGTTTTGCGGGTATTTATTGATTTTAAGTAATAACTGTTTATTTTAAACTACCATGTACCTAATTCTAGATATTAATTTTTTCCCATTTCATTAAATAAAACTAAATAACTAAGATGATAAAAAAATCATGCGTGATATCATAATGAATAAACCAGGAAATTCCGATTTTTATCCGGGCCTTAAGCGTGAAAATACGGTATATAAAACTCAAATCAGTGTTTGCCAAGCTATGCACTTTTATGTATTTGTTTCTATGCACTTTATATATCTGCACCGTTTGGTAAAAACTATATACGTCGATTCTTGCCAAAATGGGTAACCGATATAACATATTATGTAAAAAAAAGTAGGAAAAAAACTCTATTTACACTGATCGTAAAAGACTTTATCTTCAATTGGTCTATAATTTAAACTTTATAGCTGCCAACACTTGTTAGGGGCCGTCCATAAATGATGTCACACACTTAGGGGGGAGGGGGGGTCGTCGAAAATGTGACAGTTTGTAACAGCCAGGGGGGCGGGTTTGGGAGGTTGTGATGTCACCAAATTATAAAAATATTTTGGAATTTAATAATTAATAATGGTTATAAACTGGATATTAAGATTTTATTTTAAGCAAAAATTTCGTGGGGTAGACCTTACATAAAAATTAAATCCCATAATCCCAATCCCATAATTTGGGACACTTTGTGACACGTGGGAAAGGGGGGGTCAAAAATATTAAAAAAATGTGTTACATCATTTATGGACGGCCCCTTACTAATGTTTGTTTGATGGTTGTAAACTTTGATGTTTGTTGAATAGAAGAAAGGTTTTGGACTTTTATTGGCTTTTTTAATAACGACGTTTCGACTGGCACTTCAGTTTATATGTTTAGCAAACATTTCCAGACGATCCTTATGTTCACTGGAGCCTTACTAAAGTGGTTTTGGCCTAGGGACTTAAAATGATTTATTTTTGGAACAGGCCGTAACAATTCACCATTTACTACTTTGGACTAATAAAAAAACGACTTAATAATAATAATAATAATAGTAATCGATGTAACCTCACTTTCTACTTGAAATAATTCTTGATATAATAAGTCTTGAAAATAAAATGTCATTCATGTCTTTTAGTGGTTCGCTTAATAGTATGCTTCAGCACAAAAAGACTCACTTCTTGGCCCAATGATATAAACTGAGATTTATATTATATATGGGGCATTCCATGCCAACTCATCCTACCGATTGGATTTGCATCTCCGATTTCGCTGAAATTTGGGTATCTTTTTGTACCCTTCGAAAAAGGTTTCTATGAATTTTTTCAAATTTTTTCATTTAGCCAATCGAGAGATATGAATTTTCGAAAATTTCGGGTATTTTTTTTTTATATAGCCATAACTTGGTGAAAAATTGTCCGATTTTTTTCAAATTTCGTGTTTTTTGATGAACTTTTTGAAAAATTTATGCAAAAAATTATTCATCATAAATTTGATTGTTTTTTTTTTCATTCCAAAGTTAAAACAAGAATTTTAAGATTGTTTTTATCCTTCAAATTTTTTTAAAAAATTCTCAAAAATTCTACTCTTCAAAACACAAATTTTTCTGTTTTTTTTTCACTATTTGTGTGTTACTGGCGGCTTTAGTAGATGAGATTCGAAAAAAATCATACATCAATATAATAAATAATTGAAGTCAAAATTTCAATTTCTAAGGTAAATTTTATTTATAACTTTTTTTTTATTTTTTCTGGCGTTTGAATATTTTACAAGAATAAGTTTTATTTGAGCAAGAAATCAGTTTCATTGTGAGTGATCCATCTGTATTTGATATAACGCAATGATACTTTTGTGTACCTGTGATTCTTTTAGCTTTTGAATAAAGTATATTTAAATTCTCTGTAGCTTTTTCATAATCTGCAATAGTTGAATATCTTACTTCGATTTTTGGCAAGTTATTAGATTGCGCAGCCCATTGATACAACTCTCGGGGGTTTGAAATTTGTTTATCGAATGGTAACTGAAGACTAGCTCTTGCTGCACCTCTTTTTAGTGTTCCTCCTACACCGTCACAAGGTCCTTTGCCATGGTAGCTGGCAAAGAAATGCCATTCAGCATTTATTCCAAAATCTTCCTTGTGATAATATAAATTAACAAAGTTTTTGTAATTCTTAAATTGTTGCGGAGCTCCATCGGAAAAGTAGAATATCTTTTTAGCTGTATTGGACAAGGACTTTATAAAATCAGTAACGATTTTCAAAAAGACGTTAACTGTAGTCGAGGCATGCGTGTTACAATCAGATATAATCACTAAACTTCTGTGCAATAATTCATTATTTTTCTTAAAATAAATTACCACTGGAAATATTGTCGATTGATCATTATTCCAATGGAATCCTGGCACTGCATTTTGGATGACAAATTTGTAGTTCTCCGCAAAATCACAAACTACAAGAAATTCATCGGTTCCAAGAGACTCTTTAAGAGATTTCATGAATCTTGCTTGCGATTTTGCAATAAAATAATGAGGCAAAAGTTCCGTAATTTCTTCGCAAAAGTCACTGATGAATTCTGATGAAACTACCGTTAAAGTTTCAAGCGTTGTCCGCGGTTTTGAAATCCATTATTGATACGTCAATTCATCGATATTATTTTCTTCAAAAATCTCGTTCAAAAAATTTTCGAGTACATCGATTCCTGGACAGTTTTTACACTTGCCAAAATAGCACTCTGAAGATGAATTCTGACAAACAATCATTTTTAAACAATCATTATATTCAATTAAAGGTGTCGGAAGATCACTTGTCAATTTTCGTAAATTGGAACCTGAAAATAATTGCAAAAAAAACCATGCAATTAAATACAGAATTTAGCAAAAATAATAATCATAAAACAAAATTTGAATTTCAGTCATACTAACCTAGTATCATGAGTTTTACGTTTTGGTGGATTGAACATACACACACAGTATGTGTACCACCGGATCCTGCTAGTACACAATACTTGGGGCGCAATGATGCAAACATGGAAAATCCAACTTTACAGTCAGGATACTCCAATTTAAATAGCTCATATAACTCTTTTAAATTTGATAAAATAAGCCTTTTTTAAATGTGCTCACGTACGCCTTCATTGTTTCTAACAGAAACGAAGTCTTTCATACCCGGCATATTAATACTCGTTTCATCATCAACATAGAACTTCAATACCTTTGATTTAACATCTTCAGATAGAGGTCGGCTTAGAAATAAATGTTTAAATTCAGAAATAGAATTAGTTAACACGATTTAGATCAAATAAGGTTTGATTTACCTGGTTTTGAATCTGGTAATGATAATATTCCACGTCGTTCTCTCAGAGACTTCGGGACTTTGACAATATCCTTTGTTGCTTGCATAATATTACAAACTTTATAAACGCTCCAATCTGGTGGCAATAAAGTGAGAATTTGAATTTTTTCTTTTTGAGTAATCTCTTTATCGTGAAATTTTTTTTTAAGTGTTCAATCGTGTCTAAAAATTCTTGCGCGAGTATTTGATCATTAGGTTTTTGTTCTAAACCAAAGGCAGTTGACAAATACGTATTTACTTTAAGAATCTTTTGTTCTAAATATTTCTGATTACTTAATTTTTCATTATCGATAGGAGACTGATTTAAAAATTGTAAGGCATTGTTGATGACAGGTAATTGTGTATTGATACTCAGTTGGGAATGACTACTACTCCAAGATGTAGATGGACCGGATAATGAAGTTATTCCTAAAAAAATAAACAGTGCAAATATCATTTCAAAAAATGCCAAATCGGTTATTTACAAAGTTAATTGATAAGCAGAAGAATTATTTTCAAAAATATACCTGACAAAGTTCGGTCGAGAAGTTCTCCAACTGCATCTATCTCCTCAATATCAGAAGTAGCATCGTCACTACTACTTGCAGATATTGTTTCTTCGTTGTCTTGTTCTTCTATTTTTTCTTCATTTAAACTAAGATTCAATTTTTTCCGACAAGCTGTACATAGATAATCGGCACTATCAATATTGAACTTCAGTTGTAAATTTATAGACGCTAACCTCAAAGAGTTCTTCACTACGTGATTATTTAAGTTAAATGGATTACAGCACACATTGAATTTTTTGAAAGTTTACATTATGTCGTATTATATAATAATTTGTCTTTTCTCTTCGTTATCATGAAACATAAGTAGATATTGTAACTTATAATCACTTTAATTTTAGAAGCGTATTGGGGAATGTGATTAAGAATCAAAACAAATGTCAGATGACAGGCGACAGCAGCGCTACGTAGCCGATTGATTAGTTAATAACGACATCAGCGACCTTAAATGTTCTTTTTTGTAATTTATGCAATGAATAAAATACTCTTCAAAGTAAAAAAAAACTGTAAATGGATTCCATTTAATGGAACATAAAAAAAAAATAATTTAAAAAATTAAAAAAAAATTATAACCCATTATTATCCCATTACGAGACTAGGCTTAAAATTTGTGTTTTGAAGAGTAGAATTTTTGAGAATTTTTTAAAAAAATTTGAAGGATACAAACAATCTTAAAGTTCTTGTTTCAACTTTGGAATAAAAAAAAACAATCAAATTTATGATGAATAATTTTTTGCATAAATTTTTCAAAAAGTTCATCAAAAAACACGAAATTTGAAAAAAAAAAAGTCCCAAATCGGACAATTTTTCACCAAGTTATGGCTATTTAAAAAAAAATACCCGAAATTTTCGAAAATTCATATCTCTCGATTGGCTGAATGAAAAAATTTGAAAAAATTCATAGAAACCTTTTTCGAAGGGTACAAAAAGATACCCAAATTTCAGCAAAATCGGAGATGCAAATCTAATCGGTAGGATGCGTTGGCATGGAATGCCCCATATATACTCGTATATATATACCAAAATTAAGGATTTATCAGTTAAGATTTTAAATAAAACTTTAAATTATTTTTATAACCTTTATTTTATATAACTACGAATCAGCTATAAAATACGTGCGTATATACAAGCATGCTTTTAAAATTCTAGGGGATTATTTTTATTGTATTATGAAGTCAATTAAAACTAAAAATATTTAAGTTTTATTTTGATTAAAAGTCGCACATGGGCAGCTACTGACCCCAGCTTATATTTTTGGCTGTATTTTTGCGACTTTAAATTTTTAAGTGGTGTTTTATTACTTTGTGCTTAAATATATTTGGAACCTACAGATGCTTTTAGTAATTTCATTTAATTGTTTTTATCTAGTTGCTAAATTACATCAATTTGTTGTTTCTTCACTAATATTCTTTTCTAATATTTAACTGTTATAAAAAATAAAATTTTAAAACTTAATGTATGTATTTTTTTATTTGTCATGTAATAGTTACTGCTGTTATTATGTGATGGATGAATAAGTGAGGCTGTTCCTTGTACCATAGAAAGGGCCGTACAGAAACTACTATTCTGGGATCATTACCAGGTTCCACATGCGACTGTTAATTTTTTTTTATAAATTATGGTTTTATTTTATATATATAATAATTTTTTTTATAACTATAACGTTAATTTAAATAAAATTATTATATTTGTTTTATGTATATAGTACCTACTTAATTTATTAGGTACTAAAAATATGAAAAGTAATCTTAGAGCTAATTTTTATAATGTTATTTTGATTTATTTGTAAAATATAAAAATTAAAAGAAATTAAAATTATTATTATTAATTAATACAATCAATTTGGCGAGTTGGTGAAGGTGGTTCCATTGAAAATTGAAGGGAATCTCTCTGAAAATCAAAATAATTTTTTATGTAAAAAGGTTTAAAATTAAAATATTTGATCAGAACAAATATATTCTATATTAAATACAAATGTTATCAAATTCCCTTTCCTTCCTTTATCAAATGCAATTTTACAAGTACTATTTAGTTAGACAGGCCGACAATATTTTTAAAATATATAATATATAAAAAAAGCGCGAGAAAATCAAATCGGCACATCATTTAAATAGCATCAATACATGTAATAAGATACACATTGCAAGATAAGTAGTAGATGTGTAGTTTTTAGTATTTTAGTATAAACAAATATTAGAAAAATTCCCCAACACCAAATTCCTTCAAAGTTGCTTTTAGTTCAAGCAGTAACAAACTTTAGACCCTTCTAGGCAACCCAAAGGATAAGATACCTAAAATTGAAAAGTCTACGAAATAAACTGTCAAGATTCTGACAAGAAATATGTTGGACAAACTAAACGATCCATCCAAGCAAGGTTTAAAGAGCACTTTCGAGTGTTGCCCAACATATACTTGATGATGGTCATAGAATAGGATTTGACAACCTTAAACTTATTAAGGAAGTTAGGGAACCAAGCCTGTTAGATAGTTATGAAAGTTTATACATCTATAAGAATATAAATAAATTTATAAATAACAACGTACCGGTACCCAACTCTAATTTGTTTAAATTAGTTTGTTAGTTTTTCTTTACGTGTTTACTGAAGCGATTACGGTCCACGGTTTAGTAAACTGTGTCCGTTTACAGTTCAGTCAACCTTAGCTTATAATTAATATAAATATGGTAGATTTAGCAGTAAGATTTAGTTACACTTCGCTTCTGAAGATGCCAACATCGTTGGCGAAAAGTACTCTAAGCACTTTGTGTTTTATTTTGGTATTGGAGAATATTTTTAATATTTGTTTAATATATCAGCAAAGAAATATAAAGTTTATATTATATTTACAGGGTGATTTACCTAACTGATTCATTAGAGCTTTATAAGTAGAGCATTCAATCTTAAATTTTGGTTACAGCTATACACTGTTTAAAATATCTGTGGTGTAAAAAGTAATCCTAAAATGGTGTCAAAATCCAACACCAAGTGGTGTTAATATAACACCATGAATTATGGTTGAAAATGAACACCAAAACGGTGTTTATCTAAAAATATTTGAGAAGTGCACCTACACAGAAAAAAAGAAATAGTTCATTTAACTATATTAATTTAGTTGACCCATAAGTATTTATTTTTTTGTGGATCACGTGATGTTCTTAAATCTCGCCTCTGTTGACTTACATGAAGAATATATAAGCTCATGTTGTCCTTTGCTTTGGTGTGACACTACAAGTTGTTTGATACTAGACCTTAAATAGGTGGAAACAGCTGTCAATACTTGAAGTATTATAAGTTAGTGGAACGAACTAAAAACATTATCTCTAGCGAGTTGAAGGTTCCATTTTCTGGAATAATACCACTGGTAATGTACTAGTAATGCGTCAAGGAAATTCCTGTTTCCTTTTTTTTCTGTGTAGTATGATTTAATTTGACCACAAACACATAATATTTAATACTGAAAAGGAGTTCAATTTACACCAGGTAAAATTAATTTTTAATACTGTGTGAAAGTTAAATTTACACCATTTTAGTATTTAAATTAACACCGGACCAACGAACCCTATTTAACACCATTTTGGTTTGTATCGATATAGACCAAATATGGTGTTAATTTGGTGTTAAAATGGTCATGAAATTTTGAACAGTGTAATAGCGCGTCTGGTCTATTTTATTCTAAAATATTTTCATTGCGCTGTCCAGTTCAACCAAGACAGTAACTTTGTTTTTTTTTATATAGAACCCTATAAATATTATTTCATTTTAAAATTCTTCGTTAAATTCTTGAACTATTTAATTGTTTTTAAGATATTTTTTTATTTGTGAAATGTCACAATTGCATACCTATTGAGTGACTAACTAAAATGTTTGTATTAGCAACAAGTGTAATGCTAAAATGATTATTCTTGGTATAGGAACACGTTAACAAGGGAGTATTCTAACAGGAGGATAAATATGTACAGAGATATTACCAAACATGGGAAAAAACGCTAATTTGACTCGTGTGTATTGTCCCAAGCATAATTGACAGATATGTATAAATTGGCGCAAACCATCTACAACATTACAAAAATAAACAATACGAAATTAATATTATCTTGTGCGACTAGTGGGAAAATGGGGAGATTACTAGATCGTGGAGTTTTCCGCACAAGCGTACCGAGTGCTGTAACTCAGGAGTGCAATCTTTCGACCAAAAGTCGCACACAATATTTAATTGAACTACCGCAAGAAAACTAGAAAAAATTATTTAAAATTGTATCTGACATCTCACAACTGTCAAGCAGTTTTAACCTAACATTTTATAAAATTTTAACATAATGTCTAGAGTCCCGTCAGACGGGTCTCCATTGCGCTCCCGTTAAAACTTTGTGACGTCACACACTGTAAATAGGTATTATTTTTCGAGCGATAGAATTATTACAATAAGCTCGGTAGCTCGATGGAAGGGCGCCTGCTTTGCATGCGGGAGGTACGGGGTTCGATCCTTCGCGCCTCTACAACTTTTTTTAATTTTTTTTTAAAGAATTTATATACCGAAATAATACAATGTGGCATTAAAAGCAATTATATTTAATTTTACATTAATATTTTAATTTATTTACCTTTCCTCATAATCATTTTGCTAGTTATATAATATAAAATGTAATTAAATGAATATTCCTTCGTTGAAAAATTTTTACTCAATGGGGCGGGGGGGGCCAATGGGGCGGGGTCGGTTGGGTTGGGTTGTTGGGTTTGGGTTGGTTTTGAAGCGGGCGGACTCGGGACGTTGGTTAAGGAAGATCTGCTTCCCGTCCTAAGATTGCGTCATTTGATGACGTCACTCTGTTAACGGGAGCGCAATAGAGAACCGTCTGACGGGACTCTAGACGCGGCGAAATTTTAAATTAAAACTAACTTTAGGCCGTGGAAGAAATGCTATTTTGAAGTTAGAAAATGAAATGGGAGTTAAATAAAAAAAAGTATATTGAAAAATAAAGCAAAACTAAAGTAACTGTTTAAAATTTCAAGACATGTCGCCCGTGTTGTTCACAACACATAATAATTTTTCTTTGGATACCATAAGTCGTGATATTAAAAATATCTGCACGATAACTCGCAATATAGTAACAAACACTCTTGCATTTTTAAATTGAATTTAAGATCGAAAAAAAAAATATTGCAGGAAAGCAGGCTAAAGTACAAACACTTAAACTAAGAGTCGCCTAAAAGACATAAATCAAAGGAAGGCAAACAAATTAAAAGATTCAGTCACTCAAACATAAAATAAAAATCCACTCAAGTATTAAGGGCAATATTTTGACCTGTTGACAGGTTTATTTACGGTCTTTGCACTGTGTGTTAAGTAAGTTTTGGTAAGAGTAGATGAATCTTCCTTGAAGCCAGCTGCATATTTTGACCAACCCGACGAGGACAAAGAAACGGAAACACACTCACAACCATATAAAGGGCAAATTTGGGCCTTGTTGATAATTCACCGGATTTCGCACAGTGGGATAAAAGAAAGTAAGTATCAGTTTTCAATTTTTCAGCCTAGTAAATGAGAACTTGGTGAAATGAGAGAATCTTTTTTAAAGCTTGTTTTGAACAACCAGACGCGGACTGAGTCTCAGTCTGAGAAACGAAAAAAGCCGTCCAAGAAGCAGCAAGAGTTCGGCCCCCGCAGCGAACTAACAGCACCCCAGCCGCAAGCATGGACCCCAAATGATTGTGGTAAATGCTAACTCCCAGGTCTAGAGTGATCTTACGGATGGCGTCATGCATACAGAGGATCCAGAAGTACACGGCTAGGAAAGTTGGATCCTTACAGCTAATAACAATACCCAGCCGCAAACATAAACCTCAATTATTTGAGTTACTTACTAATTTACTGGTCTAGGGGGTTTCCGCATCGTAACTAGGTGTGGGTCTGCGTAACGATCTCTGAAAACCAAACTGTCTATTTTGCTCCTCGTGCCTTGAGGGTATAGTCTGGCCCAGAGAACCCGGGAGTGGTCAATAAAACCATTGGCATGCCGCTTGGGAGCCCCAAAAAGGGTATCGAAAAAGCCGCGATGGACAAATTTCTTCAGCAATCACATTGTGAAGTAGCTGGTGGCAGTGGAAATTGGCGGTGTACAACAGACCTTCTCGCGGGGTTTGCAAGCGGTGATGCAGATGGGGTCCGCTGTACGTCTCGTATATTCATGTTCATATGTTCATCTTTGTAAATATTCATTTTATCTATAGGGTATGCTACAACATACAATGAAGGATAATATTCCGCGCGAATGGTGGAAAATTTGTATGGTCGTTTCATTTGAAATAGGAAAGTTATTGCCATTTAAAGTGTCAAAAAAGTAAATGGAAATACCAAACACCCTGCCTAACATTTTGAAATACTTTGAGTACGTCTTTGTTAACGTGTACCAAGAATATTTAACCGAAAGTGACAGCGTATTTAAAATATTAAAAAAAAAAAATACACATCGGGCTATAGCTGCAACCAAATATTTAGATCTATAAACCTCTAATGAATCAGGTAGGTGAATCATCCTGTATATTTATAATGTAAAATGAACAAAAACAAATATAATAAATATTCATACATATGATCCTTCTTGGTGCTGCAGTCTCGGCGAGAGACCATTACTCGGTGGGTTTCTTTGAGGTGGTTGAGGGGGATAGGGTGGTATATCCAGCAAGGCAGGCACATAAGTAACTCCTGGCAAACATTTGGAGCACTGTCTTCTTAAAGCTGGCCTTTGCCTGGATCCTCTACACCTTAAAGCAAAACAAAGTTCGCCGCCCATTTCAGAACACAATGATTGGTGGGGGCCACTGGGTGATCTCTAAGGTACATAATATATTATATTACATTAAAAATAGGTTTTTTATTTTAATTACCTTTTCTGTCACAGCGTTTTTCTTTGAATTGTAGCAAAATTCAAAAATGGCTATAATAACAGCAAATGCTAGTCCACACAACAAAACCACAAATACACCCCCAATATTATCAACACCCAATGAATTGGCTTTTGATTCTTTTCCTTTGTCATTTCTTGAGCAAGTTTCTCCAGTATTTTTCCACCTAAAAGAGACATTTTTTCATATATTGTTTATCACTTGCGGAAAAAAGTATTTTTGATATGTTTACATTATCCAAATAATTGTGTCTTTAAATTAGACATTTTTTTCATAATCAGTGCCTTAATTATAGCATATAGTCAGAGGGTCTTAGAAAATAAAGTAAGTACCTAGCTAAACAAAAATAATGATCATAGGTTAACATTCAAAAACCTAACTAAAGTGTAGTATAGTTGTTAAACGTTAAGTGTGAGGAATAAAGTATTTTTGATATGTTTACATTATCCAAATAATTGTGTCTTTAAATTAGACATTTTTTTCATAATCAGTGCCTTAATTATAGCATATAGTCAGAGGGTCTTAGGAAATAAAGTAAGTACCTAGCTAAACAAAAATAATGATCATAGGTTAACATTCAAAAACCTAACTAAAGTGTAGTATAGTTGTTAAACGTTAAGTGTGAGGTAAGGATAAAAATTTAGAGGTAAGGATAGAGTAGGACAAGTTTTTGAATCTCAAACTATACTTATATTTTTTGTTACATTTATTAGATATGTTCTAGGACTCGGAAATGTTTACTACATAATAAATAGTTTTTATATTTGTAATAAATAACAAATAAATTATTATTTTATATAAATATAAAATTAAAACTAATTCAGTACAAATAGTATATTGCATTAATATGCTCTATTTTGGTACTAGACACTGTCCAGAACTAGAATAGTGAAAAATTTATATAAAATGTATAAAACGTATCATTATATTTTTGGCAGATAGTAATTTCATTAAATTTCAAATATTTTAAATTAAACTTCCTACCATTCAGTTCAAATAGTATATTACATTAATATGCACTATTTTGGTGCTAGACACTGTCCAGAACTAAAATAGTGTATAATGTATTTAAAATGTATAAAAGTTATCATTATATTTTTGGCAGATAGTAATTTAATTAAATTTCTATATTTTAAATTAAACTTCCTACCATTTATCATAAAGCATTTGAATTTCCCCCTTTTCCTGCAATTCTAATATGGCAAGGGAAATTTTATCTCTCCAAGGACTCCCCATTGGTGTGGCTATTCCATATCCTTTGGAATCTAACAAACCTCCGATTTGTGTTAAGTTACAGTCCCTCTGAACAACAAAATCCAACATGGTGGACTCCATCAAAAAAGCGTAATTTCCTTCGAGAACTCTTTGAATTCCTTCTTCGTAAGTCGGCACAAACACTGAAGGTTTCCGATTTTCCATAAATCGCCACATTTTCTTATATGTTTCAATCATTGAATCCTAAGGTACACACATATTTATATTCATTATCTTGTTATTACATAGCTAAATTGTCATTTATATTTTCTGAATAAAAAATATAATATAATGTAATAATTAAAACAAAATTATATTTTCTTTTAATTATTAAATTATATTAAATATTTTATTATTATATCTTGTAATAATATTTAAATTATTATTAAGTCCTTTCTAGGTTTCTATTATTTGGGGTAAAGCATTAACATTTAATTAATCTTTTGTAAAAATTGGTTTAAAATATCTTAATTTAATATTGATTACAGATTAATCCAAACAATTTCACTTACCCTAAAGAAAGTCATTGTTGAGCCACTTTCCAGAGTTCCGTATGAAATCTCAGTTTGTCCTGCTAAATCTTCTGCATTTTCAATGGGTGTAATCATCCGTTCAACTGTTAGGAAAGCCGCCAAATTAGCAGTGTACGAAGAAATTATTATTAAAGTAAAAAACCACCAAATCCCTCCAACTATTCTAGTTGAAGTAGCCTAAAAAAATTAGCAGATTAAACAAACGTCATAAATTTACTCTAAATTTGCATTTAAATTAACTAAAATACAATGCTCCCATTATTAGGCCATGTCCTTATCCATATCATTTAGGATTACTATGGTTAATTTGATCTGGGATTGTTGTATAATTGCTACATATTACGAGTTTATGTATCACAATTGAACCAAACCTTTCACACATTTGAATTTAATTTATATGATTTATTTTAAATAGTGATAACCATGTTGAATAAGCACCCATAATTTTTAAAATTGTTAATTATTATGAGTGTATATAAAAAATACTACTGGATAGACAGATGCTTACCAAACATGCAGGTGAAAAATAAGGTTTTTTGTGGTACATGTACAAATAAGTGTCTAAAAACTATGAGTGCTTATACTTTTGTATTGCCATCTGTTTAATAATCATAAATAGAAAAAAATATATTTTACTACCCATTTTTAAAGATAAAAGTAAAAATAGTATGACAAACATATAAAAAATTACCTAATTTGTATTATTATATGCGTAATAAAATAATTTAAAACTTTTTAAATGACCTGCAGGTTCTAGGTATGTTAGAGTTAATCATGAAACTGTGTTTTTTAATCACCAACATTTTTTATTTATTGGTAAAAAACCGTGTTGCGTAACCCAACGAACAAAATTTTATTTAATTTTGAATACAATCTAAAATTTATAAATAATTTTTTATTTCTTTTTTCTTTGTTTGGAGTAGTTTTAAGTGCATATGCATTTATTTTTAAAAACCTATTTAAAAAGAAAACACATGTAGATAAATATATATTTTCACCACTCTCTTAAAATAATTAGTCAAAAATAACTAATTATGTCATATTTGACTAATTGTCATAGCGAAAAAGCAGTTACTAATAATTAGTCAAATTCTACTGAATGAAATAGTCAAATTCGTATATTGAAATTTAAATAAATTTTGACCCAGCCGGGGATTGAGGTTTGTCACTTGTCAAGCTTGTCAAGCTGTTGTCATAAACAATGTGGCTATCAGTCACTCTTATAAAAATCATTTTAATTTGCCAATAAATATTGTTCATAATATTTTAAAGTTGAATATATTTTTTGTGTTGCTGTTTTGAGCCAAATGGTTTGCATCTTTGTTTGTTTTTATGGGCCATTTAACCATGGAGTCTTTATGCATTTAATTCATATAATACTTTGTAGTTGGCCGCAAGCGATTAAAGAAACTAGTTACTTTTAACTCACAGAAATAGTCAAAGATGCCATCTTAAGATGGTGACTAATCTTTAAGATGGTGACTAATCTTAAATTAGTCAAACTTTAACTATTTACGTAGTAAAAAATAACTATTTAAAACTAAACGACTATTTTATTAGTAAAAAATGCTGGTACTAATTCAAATAGTAGAATTTTGAATATTTCATTTTAAGAGAGCATGGTTTTCCTACTAGAGTAGTAATATGAAATATGCCAATCACTTCGCTCACTGTGCTTTTATTTCGAATGTGCTTTCGGTCCTCATCAGTGTCGGGTAGCCTTGCGGTCCATTTTTGCCGTAGGGTGGCTCGCTCATACGCTGGGCGATCCACCCTATGTTGTTTAAATGCAGAACGCGATTTCTACTAAACACATAGATGGCTTCATCCACTGGACGGTAGATGTCGCTGAGGACTCTCGTTCGCTGTGTTGTCACCGCTGTTCTATGGCAGTACTGCTATAAGAACTGCGGGTGCATTTTGATTCGAGTGTGCTTCGGACCACAAGGCTACCCGACACTGATGGGGACCAGAATTCGTGATATTCGCACTATAAAAATGTTTATCATTGTTTTTTTGTCAAAATGTTAAAAAATTGTTCTATTTAACCATAAAAATGTATCTATCAAAACAGTTATTGTCTTTTCAAACAGATGAACGATTTTGATGAAACTTTGTCATATCTAAAGGTAAATAAATTAAGTATTCTAAAACTTTTTTTTATAATAATTTATCTATTTTTTTACAAACAATTGATTTTTTTTGTTCTGGATATTCTTTAAATTTAAAAAAATCCGAGCGGTGATTATCTTGGAAATTATAATTAAAATAAAGCTGCGCAGCGTGGGTACCTATACCAGTGTGCAAAACCCGTCACTGTGCGCACGTTTTTTAAGAGCGCATTTTTTTTATATCTTTTTTTTTAATCCAGGGATGATTAAACAAAAAATAGTTATTTATGTCATAGGGCTGAGAAGTCACTTTTTGTGCCGAGCTCAAAGTTTAAATACCACGCGTTAGTACTACAATTGAGCAAAGCAAAAAAATACACTTCTCAGCCGAATGGCATACAACCATTTATCTTCAAGGCACAGTTTTATTTGTAAAACAATACACAAAACGTTCTAATTATAACAATAATTATTAAAAGTATAAAGTGAGGTTAGATACCTTCAGAGCTGTCAGCAGTTATCGATTATTTTTTTTATTGGTCGATACGGGTTTTTTTCCAGACTAGTAAAAAACTTAATTTGATTGGACCTATTTATTTTTGCAGCCTAGGAGGTAATCGAATACTCTGGTAGTGAGCGTTGACAAAAATAAAGCTTAAATTATAATTATAGAATGCTTAAAGATAAAAACGTTTTACTAAAAAAGTAGTTTTTTACATTTTTGCTTGAAAAATAAGTTTAAAATCATTTATTATGTAAACAAGTAAATCGCTATAGTATAATGCCCATTTTTTTTTTAAATTACAGAAAAAAAATTATTTAGCTTTTAACCAGTTGATTTTTATTGTTTAGTGAATTAAAGTGTATTTTAAGTAAAATATCTATCACACTGTTTTAAAAATATCTGTGGTGTAAAGAGTAATCCTAAAATGGTGTCAAAATCCAACACCAAGTGGTGTTGGATAACACCATGAATTATGGTTGAAAATGAACACCAAAACGGTGTTTATCTAAAAATATTTGATAAGTGCACCTACACAGAAAAAAAGGAATAGTTCATTTAACTATATTAATTCAGTTGACCCATAAGTATTTATTTTTTTGTGGATCACGTGATGTTCTTAAATCTCGCCTCTGTTGACTTACATGAAGAATATACAGGGTGGCCGATTTATCTGAAGACATTGAAATATTTCGAAAACTACGCATCGGATCAAAAAAAGTTTTGAATAAAATTTGTTCGCCTGGAAGGGGGACATCCAATGATACCAAAGTCGACCCCTCACCACCACCCCATGGGGTGGGGGTGGGGGCAACTTTAATATTCTAAATAGGAACCCCCATTTTTTATTGCAGATTCGGATTTACTATTAAAAAATAAGTAACTTTTATGGAAAAACTTTTTTTAAATTCCTGATAGATGGCGCTGTAATCGCGATTTTTGGGAATATCTTGAAAAATTGCAGATTCGGATTTCCCATTAAAAAATATAATTAGTGTATACGAGAATTGTAAGGGAATTCGATTAAATTTAATCATCCCTAAATTAATTAAAAAATGCGCTTTTGATAAACGTGCGCACTGGTATACCACCATGCAAAACAATATTTTAACCATAATAAACAAAGATAAAAGACAGACAGAAGACGAAAAAAAATTTATTTTTTATAAAAAGTTTAATAAGGTTGATTTGTTTTTTGTAATTTCAAAACAATTTTTTAAAGTCAATTTTATTACTTTTGATATGTAGATGTTTCATCAAAATTGATTCATTAATTAATTTTAATGCTCAAAAAGAAACGTTTTTTCAACTTTTCGACAAGAAAACAATGAGCCAAAATTTGATGGTATTAAAAAACCACGGTTTCGTATAGTACTCAACCAGACCTACAACCTTCTTTTAGTAATAATTACATAATCTACTTTTTGTTAATAATATTTTCATTAAGCTAGCTTAAGCCAATATGGTACCTTCGGATTTAGATCAGAACCTTGTTGCATTAAAGTTCCTATAGTAAACCAAAACGAATTTGCCATAGAAAATTGGTTCTTAACTAATTCGTTCTCTACTTCGCATGGATGTGGATTGTGCCATTCGTAGGGTGAAAATCTAGCTACTACGAACATCGTTATTGATACGAGGACGTATGCAGAAAATACATATAACCAAATATCCATGGCCAATGGATTCATGAATGAAAACAGTCTTGCTTGAGGACTGGATGGCACCTTTAACAAAAGTTTATTATATTTACATACATATAAAACAATTTAGTATAAATAACAGAATAATAAAATAATCTTAAAATCTATTTCATGGAATTTTTAAATTAACATTTACAAGGCAATTTTTGGAAACGTTTGATTCAATTGAACTTTATACCTATAAAATGAATACCTGAGGATTAACACCTGAAGCTTGTCGCAATAATGTACCAGTTATAAACCAGAAACTATTTGAAATACCTAAATTATTTATTGATTTACTATTTTTCTTCCAAGGCATTGAATCAACCCATTCGTTAGGTGTAAATCTACCTAGTGAAAATAGTGTAAAACTTGACATAAAAAATGCACCACCGGCAAAAATCCATATATCAAATCCGAGCGGGTTAAGAAATGAAAAGAAAGCTGATTCCTTGTCTGTTGGAACCTATTAATGAAAAATAAACGTATACTTATTTATTCACCAGTTAAAATTAATCTTAAAAAAACTTGCAAAATAATATAATCACAATTTATTTTATGCCCAAAATTTTGGTTGAAAAGTTTGAAAACTACCACACAGCCGTGTTTTCTTAATTTTGACAACAATGAGCCATAGCGAAAAGCAAGTTTTCGAGTTTGTTAAATTAAATACTGCATACCATACCTAAAAAAGCGCTGTTACTTAATTTTTACACAGTAAAGTTTGTATTCGCAAATGCACTTAACTACGGTTTCGCGAAAGGATCGAACGGTCAATTTGCAAGGGTTCAAGAAATCGATTGAAACTTTTTTACCTTATTTCTACATCTAAATGAAGTACTTTTTTTAAAAAATTGACAATTTTATTTTTATTTTTTTTCTTCACTGTGTTAAAAATGAAGAATTTTTACTTTTTTTAATAGCTTTTTTATTTCAAAACGTATTCATTTGAAATTTGGACAAAATGTAGATCTTACTAATGACAATTTTTCCATGAAAAAATTTTGTTTAGATTTTAACGTACAGGGGGCGCTGGTGATAATTTAATTTAAAATTTAACAATTTTTAAAGGGTAAATTATCGAAGGAATAAGCATCTTTGTTTTATATATTTTAGTATAACACGTTAAAGTATTGATATTTGACTATTATTTGATATATTAACTTTTTTATGCAAATGATGTTCCTGTGGCCAGGATCAGTTTTGAATTAGCAGTAGCAGTATTCATAAATGTTTAGTTTAGGACATTTTGCCATTTTTATACAAATATTGTTGTATCTTTTATTAATAATTAAATATAGCATAACACATAAATGAAGTTTAATATACAGGGTATTTCACGTACGTAGTCCGTTAAAAGTTTCTAGGGAATAGCGAAAGACATCGATTTAAAATTTTAATAGCGTAACTTATTCGCTTAAGACTTGAACAAAATGATACTTCCTGTTTTACTGGAAATGTCTTTAACTTTGTTATTTTAAACAGGCCACCTCATATATTTTTACATTTACAGTAAAATGGCTCTATATATATTTTCAATACTATTTTGTATCAACAGACCTGTTAAATTCTACATTTGGGTTAATGTGACAGTATCCATGGTTACCACCAAATCTGTTATTATTTAAAATTAATTAAAATATTTGATTGAAAAATTAATAACTCGAAAAATATTGACTTTAGGTATAGGATATGGATTTGTTGCCCAATTGGCGTAAAATGTCCATTATTTGTTTTTAAAATCTTGATTTTTAAAAATATTATAAAATTTTACGTTAATGGAATTAAAGTATATTATTTATCAAGTTTAATAAATTAATGAGTGTCTAGAAAAGTTTATAAACGAGGTGCATACTATACTTTTTCAACTACAAATACTTATTATTATCTTAAAATGATTTAAATCAAATATTTGTATAGAGCGCCATCTATAAAACAATAGGGGAAGTTGTGTTACCATCAAATGTCAAATTTGTATGTATTATAAACACAGATTAAAAAGGTTATAAATCGAAATGTATTTCTTGAAAATGGATTAACAACGTTTTTTCACAGTTAAAGTAAAGAAAATGTTTTATAAGCACTTCACAGTGGAGCCCGAGCCTGAATTTAAGTTATAGTTTACTGCCGGACAAATTAAAAGGTCAGTACAATGTTCATATAAACTTTTCAAATATTGGCGTTGGGAAACTATTTAATACTTTTGTATTTTTGTAGGTATTAAGATCTTATCGATAATAAAATAATTTTCACATTTAGTATTATTTTACAAGAAAGGCACTTTATTTTAACGATTGTATGACATTTGACAACTGTCAACTAAATTAATACTAACTTCAGCCCGTGAAAAACTTGTTGCTAACTGTTTGTATATTGAGATTTTATTGTTTTGGTTTTTATAAGAAATATCATTAAAACATCATATTACATTTTAATAAATGACAGCGCCTTTTTATATTTTTATTACCATTACTAATTCCAACTTTCAGTGCAGTGTTCTCTTGACTCATTGACTTCTATGTATATCTGCTGGCATAATTGACTGCGTAACTTATAACTGCATGACAGGTATAACAAACTTCCTATGGTTTCTGGATATGGAAAGTTTGTCTTACATGGTTTGTCTTGATGAGAGATAGGTGTTTTGGTTGGTTTTGAAGTTTCCATATCATATTTACGAATAACTTCATCCACATATCGTGATTGATGGATAAGTAAACCTCTTTCAGATCTTTGAATTTGCATTCCAAGATAGTTTTCAGGTTTATCATTTACAGTGGTTTCAAATTGCTTACTTAAATTTGTCAGTAGTTGGTTAATTTGTGTTTTATTAACAACTATTATTCCATCATCAACATGAATTCCGACGAATAATTTGGCTTTTGTTATGGATTTAAAAACAAACTGATTGTTTGGAGTTGTTTGAGACCTTCCTTTTTTAGAAAGTCAGTTAGGCGTTTAAACCACGGTTGAGGGGCTTGTCTTAATCAATATAAGGCCTTGTTTAATTTACATACTTTTCCTTGTGTGTTGAAATCATCTGGTAAATGCATGTAGATTTCTTCTGACAGATCACCGTACAAGAAGGCTGACTTTATATCAAAGGTCATGATGTCCAGGTCCTCTGAAGGTGCTATGGCTAGAAGCATTTTCAATGAATTTGCTTGCATAACGGAACTGTAGATGTCCTTGTAATCTAGACCATTTCTCTGCTGACATACTCTTGCTACGAGCCTTGCCTCATAACGTCCATTTTCTTTTCTTTTATAGATCCATCTGCTTGTTACTTTTTCTTTTCCTTTTGCTTTATTTAAATCCACAAAATCCAATGTATTACTTCTTTGGAGGCATTCTTTTTCGTCTTGGATTGCTTTCTTTCATTCTTTCCAATTTTCACTTTTCTTGCAGTCTTCATAGGTAATGGGCGAGTCTTCAACAGGCATAACATCATTTTCATATTTCTTTGAAGCTTTTGTCTCTCTTTTGGGTCTTTGATTTTGTTCAGTATTGTCTTTACCCCAGATCCGATATCCATTGTTTTCATAACCAACAAAAATACCCTTTTTGGCTCTAGGGTCTAACTTCTTTAGATGACCGAAGTTTTTTGTGTATGCAACATATCCATAGATTTGAAGGTTTGAGAGATCTGGTATCTTATTATTCCATTTTTGAGCAGGAGTTGTATCTACAGCAACAGTAGGTGTTCTGTTTTGTAAATATGCAGCCGTTTGTACTGCAGTTACTCACATATTATTTGGTAGTTTTGAGTCTTGTAACATGGCTCTCATTTTGTTTCCCAAGGTTAAGTTCATACGCTCAGATGTTGCATTTATCTGAGAAGTATGTGGTATGGTATAATCAATTATGATACCCTTTAACTTACACCAATCTTTAAAATCTTTAAAGCGATACTCACCACCATTATCAGCTCTGATTTTTGACGTTTTCTCAATATGAAAGTTTTCTGCTTCCAATATATAATGTTTAAGGTATGTTTTTGCTTCATCTTTGGTATTTAAAATAATAATAATAATAATAATTTTTATTTAGTCTCAAGATCGCAATGGATATAGAACAATGTAAAAAGGTATACTGACACATGATGAGTAAAGTCATCAACAAATGTCATAAAATAATTTTTGCCTTCAAAAGTAGGAGGGTTAATCTTACCACACGCACCTGTGTTTGTAATCTCCAATACAATATTTCACACAGTTGATTTATGCTGCATTTGCTTAAGGAAGATGGCACTCCCTGACACAAGTTGGGGATCTTCTTTAAATTTGCAAAACCTATATGCCCAAGTTTACAATGCCATTTTATATTTTCTTCTTCATTCTGGGCTGAATTTGTTTAAGTCAACTACAAACAAACCATTTGGGGTTTGATGTCCGAAAAGAATAACTTCATCATCTTTCATTATGTCTACTGGGCCCATAACTTGTTTAATATTAATTTTTTATTGTTTGATGTTTTAGATTTTATAAGGAATATCATTAAAACATATAACATATTATTAAATGAGAGCGCCATTTTATATTTTTAATTCCACCTTCTTAGTAAATGACATTTTATAGGTTAATTTTGTTGTTTTTGTGTAGTGGTAAACGATATTATTATGAGAAGAGACCTGTAATATTTTACGGGCTTGTATAAAAGACCTGTAAAGTGTCACGCTTTGCAATTAATCTTTACTAAGCTCACTGGATTATATATAACATCCAGCTCGCCCGTAAAGATTCATTTACAAAGCTTGACACGTAAATAACTATTATTACCATTACTAATGCCAACTTAAATATGTATACATATCGACACTAACTTCAGCCCGTGACTAAAATGCCATAAAGCCACAACTTGTCAATGTGTATTTAAAAGTTCAAGTGTCATGGAAACATGTACGATAATGGACGTTTTAAAGGTGGAAGTATAAAAAAGAAGTTATAATCTATGTACCTATACTATTCATAGGCAACTGCCAAACTAAATGTCAACGTATATTTATTTTTATATAAATTATTTTTTAAAGATTTTTAACTTGA